ATGACGGCGACAAGGGTACCACAAAGGATCAGCACCAATTTCGAGATAGTGCGATCCTTCCATCTCCTACAGAAAATCAAAACAAGAAATCAAACACTTACGCAAACTTAGTATCCATGTACACATCGATCGACCATGTATCACCGACGTATTTTAACTTTAAAAAAATTCAGAGATTTGCACAAACTAGGCATTGTGCACTAATTTAACTTTATCCATGTACACATCAACCTACTTTAACATAAAAAAAAAAAAAAGAGAGAGAGAGAATTACACAAACTGGGCATTGTGCACTAATTTCACTTTCTCCATGTGCTCACTATTTTCATTTAAACAAAATCAGAAAGCTAAAACAAAGTTAAATCTATCATGTTAACCAGAAAAAATTCGCCGCTGTCTTAAAACCTAACAAACAAATAACCAAAAATACACAAAGTAACAAAGAACCAAAAATAGTACATTTTTCGTAACATAAAACATTAAACAACAAAAATTAACACACACACACACCAATCAATAAATAAAACGTCAATTCTTTAACATACCTTTTCTTCACATGCACACTTTAACACCATCTAACATCATCTCGTCCATGTAAGCAATTCAGTTAAATATCTGGTCATGTCGGCTCATCCGCTGTTAATTGCAGATAAATACGTATAATACCGTCCGGAACTATTCTGATATGCACCCTCAAGTCACCAAATTTCATGCTGCCATATTACTATCTAAATTTTTTGTCTAGATTTTGAACTTTTAGCCTAAAATGTCTCCAAAAAGCGGTTTTCACACGTGCAAAAACTACATTTTGAACACACAATTTAGCTAAAAATCCGAAACAAAAACAAAAAATTTAGATAGCAAAAACGTAAAGTTTCTAACCAAAAATATTTGAAAAGAATCTATGTACACAGCGACATGTTTTAACTTAAAAAAAACATCTACGAATGCACCAAATGTAGGCAACAAACAATCTACAAAACTACGTACACCTCGCTTTAATAAATTAACATAACAACAACAAATTTCAAAGAATACCATGTACACAGCATCCTGTTTAAACTTTAAAAAAATTCTACGAATTGCACAATTTAGGCAAGGAAGGAATCTACGATCTACGCATTCCTCGCTTTAACAAAATAACATAGCAACAATAAATTTCGGTTGATCTTTACATTATGGTAACTTGGCGATTTTTTGGCGAAAATTTGGCAACCAACTCTCCTACAGCAACCCTCTACTTTTTTTTCCCCGCCGCCATTTTGTCTTCACGAAGTAAAGACGTGTTTCTTTTCTTCTTATCTACTGAACACTTCTTCCAACAATCTACTAGCCGAATTACACTTATGCTAGAAATTTTATCAAACAAAACTGCTTAATCATGACAAATATTCACTGCAAAATTGGGAAAAAGTGCACAATACCATACTCCTTACGCGTTTTCAAAATAACCTACATAAACCATGTACACGCCGACTTATTGTACTTAAAAAAAACATCCCAGAATTGCAGAAAAAATGGCATGCGCACCACTCTTCACTATATCCATGTACACTGCTTTTTCTCATAAATTAGAAAAAATTTCACGAAAAATATTGACAATTTCTCAATCTTTAAACCCGGTAAAAAGAACATATATGAAAATACCTGATCGCGAAAACGTATTACCCTTTACAAATATGAACATTTCCACAAGAAATAAATAAAATATCCAAAAACTTTTACCTCTAAATCATCTATTACATTATACACGTCACCAACGAATTCATACCGCAAGTATTACAAATACTTAGTATCAAATATTTTTAATTATTTCCATGCACGTTTATTTCAACTTAAACGTACACCAAATTCCTACAACATAAAAATTCACAAAAATAACTATCATTTCATTAAATAAATTAAAATTCAAAAAACACTACTTAAATATAAATGAGCACATACATTAAAGTAATAAAAATTCCTTACAATCTAATTACTTTAACTAAATCATTGCTAATTACAATTTCCCAATAATACCAAATCCTTTCCACCTTACATTTAGAACAATGCATAAAAATAATATCCTCAAATAATAAAAATACTAACTTACCTAATCTTCTTCAGAATCTTGATTACGTGGCGGATACCCTTTTCTAATTCATTCAATAAAATTATTGAAAGATTTTTTCTGCGAATTTTTCCTCCATACTTCTCCGCTAAATAAAAAGCAAACTTTCTTTATCACAATGCCTAAATACCCATTTCGAATTCACTTTAATTAGGGGCCATGGGATCCAAAAATAAACAACACTGTTTCACACAACACAGAATAAAGCTAAATACAAAATTTCCACATTTTTTTCCGATTCCCCCCTTTTCCGATTAAAGAACCGTAATTCATCCATTAATATCACATGACATATCCCATGATCTCTCATTTCCCTCACGCAAAATAATGCGTAATCGGAACTGAGTACTGCTCACATTATTACCAAAGTCCCAGATAGTAACCTTTATCGCCTCCAAAATGTCGCCAAACTACCAGTTACCATATTGTAAAGATCAACCTAAATTTCAAATAATACCATGTACACAGCGTTCTGTTTCAACTTTCAAAAACATCTACGAATTGTACAGTCTAGACACTAAACAACAAAATAAACTAAAATAAATTTCAAACAATTTAAAAAAAAAAACAACAATAATGACAGAAATTCATACTAAAGAACCAAGGAACATAGCATTCTACAAAATAAGAACAAGGATAAAATAAAATGCACTTACCATGAATTAATGCGTTTTCGAATAGCAGAAATATAAATTTCTACATGCCGCCACGTAATCACTATCGTATTACATGACAGCCAGACACACTATCCAGAAAATTTATAACTATGGTTCACAAATAAATAAAATCACAAATCCCTACTTCTATCATGCACTGCCATTAAAAATAATCTCCCAGACCCTCTTTCCACACTTCCAAATACCCACTACCCCTCAACAGGATAGCCACAATCATATTTCCTTTTGCCGAAGTTCAATTCAAAAACTACCATTTTATCTTTCCCTCCCATCTTCTCAGACACAGAGGCGAACCTACGAGCTCCAACGAAAGATTTTTCAACGTCAACAGGGTTGCCATAGAACACGCAATCGCACCCAAAACCAGCGCAGAACACATATCGCCACATTTGGTGAAATTAGGGTGTATATTAGAGTTGTACCTACCGGTCCAAGAAAGCAATAAATTTGTTCCTTTTATTTTATGTACTCCTTCAGAAATAACAGTCGTATCCGGAATAATATAATTTGTTATAACACTAAGCAAACTTTCAGGCACCACTTTCAATAAACGTTACGCACGTGCAACCAAACTTAGCAATTCAAAATCTCTGGCCTATACAAAAGGGTTATCACAAAAAATAGCCAAAATTTCAATTTATCACAACACATTTGGTAATTTTCTCGTTTCCCCCAAGACTAGTTTCACCAACATTATCAACATTATGGTTACCAAAAAACCTACCTCACACAGCAGGCTTCCAGATTTCCTGAACAATCAATACCAGTTGGCGATTTTTTTAGACAGAAACTAAGCGGAACTGTACAGTAAAATTAAACCAATTAATGTCCTTTTTTATGTTATTTCACTGTTTAATTTAAAATGTAGTTTACTGAGATTATATATTTTTTGTTGGCTGCTCTTTTGACGTTTTAAGTGAATATAGATCAATATATACATGGGCAAAGTAAAGGGAGTGTGCAATGCCTAGTTTATGCATTTCTCTGAATTTTTTTAGTGAAAATAGGTCAATGTGCATGTGGATACAGAGTTTGCGCCATTCTTTGACTTATGTAGCGGCGATTTTTAGTGCAAAAATCGTTGCTACACAGAGCCAAAATAACAAATCAAAGAATTGCACAAACTTGGTGTCCATGTACCGCCAATTATTACTATGGGGCAACTGTAAATATATTTTTACCAACATGGCTTATCAAGAACCAAACACGATTGCAGTAGACGAAAGTGCAGATGTTGTGAGTGTTGTTACATTACGCTTATCCCTAACTGGCATTAAATTATTCTTGGTCATAGTTTCATGGTCAATATTTATTTATCATTATGAAGGCTATACTCAGCAGCTAATATTAATTATAAAATCAAATATTGCTATTATAAAATCAAATATTGGTACTTTCCAATTGTCACTCATATTTAACTGTTTGTTGCACTCTGATGGAAATTAGTTCTTCAGCTGTGGGGGGGGGAGGGTATTCTGGAACTGGTTACCACATATAGACTCCCTCCCCCTCAATTTTTCTATTTGCATCTCAAAACACTTTACCACCCAAGAAACTATGCTCATATTTCTATGCAGAATATTTTTGCTCCCAATGAAGAGGGACTTGTGCCTGATTGCTCTCGGAATCGATAGGGTATTAGTGAAAAATATGTGCCAAAATAAGGTGCCGTTTTCTTAATTTTAAATACCTGAAAATACTATACTTTGTCCCAATTAATTGAGTAAAATTAGCTTGCAAACAAAACAAGAGATTAAATGAAAACTAAACGCACAATTTTTTATGAACTAGAAAGTATGAAAAGATAAAAATTTTTAGTGAAAGGGAAATTACCCACTGCTTGGCGCGTTTTTAAGAATTGCACATACTCGTTATCCATATGTACATCGACCTATTTTCACTTAAAAAGTCAAAGAAAATTGACAAAAATACAATTCTTCTTACTCTCGTAAAAAGCGCCAAACAAATAAGTGGGCGATTCAGCGCTTTACCCAAATAATGTATACATATAAGTTGAAAATGTATTAAAAAAAAAACAGAATTGAAAAGATGTATGTAATGCAAAAAAATTATGACAGTGATAGAAAAATTAAACTAAAATATAATTCTGATTTTGTAATGACCTGACAACGGAATGGTTAAATATTGTTTTTCAATAAAAAGAATAGCAAACCAAAAGGAAAGAAAGTAAATAAAGAGTGCCGGCGACATACCGAAATGATAGTCTTCATCCGTAAGCATGTTGTCATCAAAAAACTGCTTGTCAATAGCACTTACGGACATCATATTTAATATTTTCATGCAGGATAAGTAGAATTTATTAACCTTATTTACAAATATTTAAAACACGATCATATTTCACACTCCATGCCACGATTCCCTGAGGTTTATTTCTGTTTCATTTTTGTCACCATTGTGCAAATGTGAAATCTTTAAATCAGTGCGATACCTCATGTCGATTGCTTTTTCATACTTTCATTATAAAAAAAAGTTAATCTAATTTTAAAGTTTATGTAAATTTAAATGAATAATAAAAAGGAGATTAAACGAAATTTAAAGCTTTTGAACATTTTCATTAAAAAAAAATTATTTCTTTACATTTTCATTCGGTTAATCATCATATAACGTTTGAAGTAACTGCATATTTTCTTGATCAATGTGTCAAAAAGTATATAATTATATATATTTATATATTGTTATACTGCGTCGTAAAAACTTCGCGGCAACTTCGCGGGCTAAAAGACGGAAGAGAACTCAAGCCATGTAATTATTTGTTTTGTATATCGTACTGTCTGCTAATGGGAAGCGGGAAATTTCGGTTTGATCTTTTTGAACCTGAAATAGCAGGTGTTTTATTTAATTGCAGTTATATTAACCTACCTTTCCAAATTCCAGTTGTTTGCGAAGAAGTTAATTATCTTTTGACAAAATGTGGAAATACTTTTTTTTTTAATCTATCTTATCCAGGTATACCAAGAAATTTTGATTATACTAAAAAAATTTGTTTCTGCGACTAAGTTTTCGTTATTTTTATAGCAATGGGCGATTCTGCACTTTCCCACTTTAATTCCCCCCGTTTGTAGATGGCACTTTAAAATTCGCAACTCAACGTTCATCATACATGATATTATTAGTTTTCATAAATTTTTGTTAAATCATATTTTGTTGTGTGATAAGATATTTTGTTGTGTGATAAGATATTTTGTTGTGTGATAAGATATTTTGAGTAGCTTTATGTGCTTTACTATAAAATGTTTGTTAATTTAGTTGATCTGAAAGAAAATGCAATAAATAATATTACTATATACTTAATTTCCTTTTTTTTTTTTTTTTAGCAGAGCCCACACTTTTGGCACAAATGATTTTGGTTATGGTGTGTATAGATGTGTACATAGACAAAGCATGGACCTTATAAGAGATAGACCAACCCAGTGGGCTGAGCGCGCGTCACCGACATGTCGGCAAGAAAGAGTAGGGAGATCTGGTTTACTTTAACACTCAAACCTATGGCGTTTGTATCACATAACTCTTTTTAATTATTAAATGTGATACCTTGTATACTGATGAGATTATGAAAGCCACAGTTTTTTCCAAATAGGATTTAATATATCTTATTAAAACAAATTTTAATGCACTTCGCGCATTTTTTTTCACGCATAATTCTTGTACGAACGTCTTTACTTTGGTAAAACGGTAAAAACTCTAAGCACAAAATTTATGAACTTAATTTTGCGTAAAAATAAAATTAAATATGATTGATAGTACGTGATGCTTTGAAATAAATAATGTAAAATTAAACAAGATCTGATAATTTTTTAAAAAAATTTAATGAACATTTTCAGGCAGTGATTTTCCAAACTATAATAACTATATGAAATGATCATATTTACTTGATTATATGATGATTAAATTATTAACATTAAAGTGGATTAGTTATTTTAATAATTCATAAAATTCAGAGCATAAAATTTTCTGAGCATAATGAAGGGGGGGAAAATAAATAAAATCTAGAAGCACTCTTTTTTCAAAGTTTTGTGTGTTACCTAGATTTATTGAATATCATGTTCTTCGCCCGTAAACCAGATACATTTGAAACCAGCATATCTTTAGAATTTCCGCACTAGAGATAAAAATGTTATTTTCCGTACAGTGCTCGCTCTGAACTCGCTGAGTTTGTTAATCAAAAATTCGTTAAAATTTTACAAAATGTGAAATAGATTAAAACAAATTCGAAATTCGGCCGTCCAGATGCCTATGTTCGGGTGGAGGATTACATTATTCAAAATTCGATTGCTCTATATACTGTCGTTTTTGTCACAGTGCGAGAAACATACATGTATTCATGCATGGATTAATAAATTAAATTAACAATAAATAAAAAAATCTTATGCAGAACTAAAATTAAAAAAATAATCATTATAAAATACAAGCAAAATTAGTTATTACGGTTAAATGCAATTTTAATATTAGAATTAATGTATAAAAATTTTTAAGGAGTCAAAAAATGTTTTCTATGATGCATTATGAAATTATTATAAATTTCTATTATTTATTATTATAAATTTCTATGATGCATTATGAAATATAATTGAAATAAAATTCCTTTATAGAAATTGTGCTATAATACTCATCTATAATTTTAAAAAAGCAGCACAATTTAGAATTTTAAACAAAACTTTCAAAGATTCATTTTTAAATATTTTAGTATTTTTTACTTGGCTCATTGGTTTACACCAATAAAAAGCATAAAAATTGCAAGAGAAAATTGCTTGTTTGAAATTGTCTCTTAGTTCAGATTTAAAATATTGTTTTCTAAAAGAAGTAGTTACAAATTTCCTTACAGCATAGGATAAGCTAAAAAAGTATCCTGCTCTGAAAGCATGCAGTAGTTTATAATTATTTGGAATGTTAATTATGTTTGATAAATTTGCTAAATTTTTAAAAATCAATCCCAATTTCAAAAATAAATATATGTAGAAATTCTAATTTGTGAAATGAGGCGCTACAACCAGCTTTTTCTTGACAATTATACACACTGCAATAGGCAACCCCTGTTAAATTTCCTCCAGATGTGATCCTACTCCTCCAGATGTGATCAAGGTGACAGCTGGGAATGTCTCAGGCGAGGGAGAAAACCCATTTGGGTTAGTCTATTTCTTATAAGGTCCATGAGACAAAGTCAAGGGAGGGGTTTTCATCTGCAGAGAACCCGTTGGCGCTGTTGCATTTTTACTCGCCCGAGCCGTAAACGTGATTTTCAATGCATGAAAATTCAAGTTAGCAGACAATGGTAGTAAAAATTCACATATACAGTCAAAAGTCGTTAATCCGGACTCGTCGGGACTTCGGCTATTCCGGATTATCGATTTTTCCGGATTATAGATCATCAGTTTAAATCTCCTAAGATGGCATGCAGAAATTCTAAAATTAAAAATATGAAACCGTAATTTATGAAATAAAGAACAATTATGATCTAAAGAGTATCAAAATTTACAAAAAACAAAAAAGCTTAATATTTATTTGTTTACTTTATTAAACATTTCTTTCAATGTAAGTTATTTAAGTTGCTTCATTTTATTGTGCTAATACTTTCTATTTAATTCTATAAACAGGCATAATTTCTTGTTCAGGTTACAAAGTTCCGCTGTTCAAGGTCCCTGTTAATTTGCTGTGCCGAGAATACCGACTAACTTGTCAATCGAAATTTTTTCGTTTTCACTAACCTCTCTGTCACATTCTTCATGTCTTTATCCATTTTTTGCAGCAATTCCACTTTTTGTTTGATGGACATCGAAACATACTTTCGTTTTGTACGATCCTTTGGGAGCTCCAGAATCGGAAATTCTTTTTGACATAATCGAAAGTTCAAGTTTACTTTTATAGTATTGCTCTTACAGTCTGCAAAAAATAATAAGCCGGATCCAATTTGAGAATTAAGGAACAATGCAATCATCAACATTAACTGAAATAGATAATTAGATAATTTTAGCTTATACCGTCCGTTATACATAAAACGCGCACGCGAAAACGTATTCTGCACTTGCGCACACGCATATGCGCAGACATAAAAGATCTTACGCGCACGCATAAACGTCTATGCGCATGTGTCAACGCGGCGCATGTGCAGAAAGTTTTTAGCTTTGAGGTCCGGATTATAGATCATTCCGGATTATGGGTGTCCGAATTAACGACTTTTGACTGTCTTTGACGAATTAACGACTAATAAGCATGCAGATGTAAAACTAACCGGTTAAATGTGATATAAGAAATTATATTTGTATTAAATTCAACGTAGCACAGAAAAGAATATATTAAACATAAACCTTCAAAAATAATCAAATGTTCTTCAGTAGCATTGTTAATAAAACGAGAACTTTATACGTTTTATTATTTTTCAAGAGTGATTTGAACTGTATTCCTTACACCAGCAGTGGTTTGCTAATTTTGATAACCATGGAGATGCATCAAACTATTCTGTCATCTTAGATAATCACTAATATTTTTTATTTCAATTTAATCAGCTATTTATGTCATGCCTGCTATCCTCTAAAAGGTTATTGTTAGAAAAGCATTAACAATATACAGTCAAAAGTCGTTAACCCGGACTCGTCGGGACTTCGGCGATTTCGGATTATAGGTCATCAGTTTAAATCTGGTAAGATGGCATGCAGAAATTCTAAAATTAAAAATATGAAACCGTAATTTATGAAATAAAGAACAATTATGATCTAAAGGGTATCAAAATTTACAAAAAGAAAAAGCTTAATATTTATTTGTTTACTTTATTAAACATTTCCTTTAGTGTAAGTTGCTTTGTTTCATGTGATAATACTTTCTCTTTAATTCTATTAAACAGACATAATTTCTTGTTTAGTTACAAAGTTCAGCTGTTCAAGTCCTATAATTGCTGTGTTGAGAATACCGACTAATTTGTCAATCGAAATGTTTTCGTTTTCAATAACCTCTGGGTCACTTTCTTCACTATCGGAAGCGAATTATAATGACGAGGAACTTGATTTAAATCATATCAAAGACGGAGTACATCGAGAGGAAATACTACACTTAGTAAGGAATTATAAGCCAAATAAAATAAAAACATCTGCCCTGAAGATAAGGATAGTGCTGACAGATCAACTTCCAATGCGCGGCGTGAAATTGATAAACAGATTTCAGATTTCAAAACATACTTTCGCTTTGTAGATACAAATTACATATTAGTAAATATATATCGGAAATTCTATTTGACATAATCGAAAGTTCAAGCTTACTTTTATGAAATTACTCTAACTGTCTGCAAAAAATAATAAGCCGGATCCAATTTGAAGATTAAGGAACAACGCAATCTGCAACATTAACTGAATTAGATAATTTTAGCTTATAACTTCATTACACATTAAACGCGCATGCGCACAAACATATTCGCAGCCGTAAAGGTCTTACGCGCTCTTGTAAACGCCTTTGCGCATGCATAGACAGTTTGTAGCTTTGAGGTCCGGTTTATGGGTGTCTGAATTAACGACTTTTGACTGTAGTATCTTGTTAAAATTTTATGCCATAAAAATTGGAGCCGAGAACCGGCATCTATCGACGAAAACTTCTTTAATTATACGAAAATATTTCTATCTATTCGTTGTTAAAAAATTCAGAAAAAATAACGTGAAAAATCAGAAAAAATAATAATAAATAAAGAGAAGAAGAATATAAATCTCCTAATGCGAACAACGACAGTGATAATTTAACAAAATGAATGCAAGAGGAATGGTTGTAACCTTCAAACAAGCGAATAGGATGAATACAATAGGTTACCAGGTTTGAACTATTATCACCAAAGTTGGCGATGTTTACATTTACCGGGTTCTCTGCGGAAGGGCTTCCTAAAGGAGTGTGCAATGCGAAGTTTGTGCAATTCTCTGATGTTTTCTAAAGGGAAAATAGGTCGATGTGTACCGATTTGTACAATTCTTTGA